CACACTTCTGGTGTCTCCATGCACCCAGCCTCACTGTCATTATTATTTTTCATGGTTTGTAGGGCAGCCTCTCAGCCTGAACACTGTGACAGGCGGGTGTGTGTCGTGCCTTTACATTGTTCTTAAATATTAGCACTTCTACTGTAAGTAGGTCAGACTGCAGACCCAGTTAAAGCTCGCCTAAATGAGCTCATCATTCGTTTGTTGTGAAATGAGTCCAACGTTTTTAGACCGCAGGGGAATTTTTGCTGTCACCTCAGCATACTGTAACTAATGATGTCCCAAAATAACTCTCATTTATTCTATAAAGCATGCCTCATTATATAACCACTGAGATGGTGTTTTGAACTGTTGATAAAGAGTGCAGCTTTGAGCATCACATGAAGAAAATCTACGTTGTTCTCATTAAAGAAACCTAATGGGGAAATGGGAGCACTACTGAATACCTTATTCTGCAATTAAAATACTGTTTTTTAATGCATTACAATATTTCATTCAACCTATCTAATATTAAATGGATTGCATTCATGTTTTGTTTTTTTAGCAAATCACTTAAGTGGTGCACTTTCAAAATGTGATTATACAATCTGCACTAGTGCATTTGGCTTATTGGGAGCAAATTAAAAGCTTTAAAAACAGAAGTTAGCTAAGATGATACAGAACTTCCAGCTATCTTAAACACCCAGATGATACAGAGGAACTTTGATAAAAAAATCTGAATTTAAATAAACAATGTTGTAATTACTTTGGTTATTTGGCTTTTCAGCTGCTAAATGCTCCACTGTGTCCACCAGCTAGTCTCTTAATGAGGCTGTGGCTCAGTGGTTGGTGCGCTGAACTTGGAATCAGTTTGAGTCCCACTGCAGTCAGCATGTCGTTGTGTCCCTGAGACACTTCACCCCAAATTGCTCCTGTGGGGATTGCCCACAGTATTGAGTATTGAAGTCGCTTTGGATAAAAGCCTCTAACAAGTGACATGTCATGCTTCCTGTCCTTGTAGAGCCTCCTGAGGCACAAAACAAAGCTAGGTTAGCAGAGTCAGGGATACATTTCTGATGATTTTGTCACTACTTTCACACACAAGTAGTCACGTGATCTTACCTATATTGAAAATAATAATTAAACCAGCTTTAACTGGGTTTTGTTTGGGTTCATAAATCCATAATAAAGTGTCAATGTTTTTAGATGAATACCTGAACCCCAAGAATACAACTAAATCTCAAGTTTTATAAAGTGCACCACTTCAAATGACCAATCACATACATTCAGATAGATGGTAAATAAAAAAATGTCAAAAATATAAAATAATAACGTAACAAATCAATGAGGTATTTAGTTGCTGGCCTTTTATCTTCATCATTTTCTTTCATATCTGGTAAGACAACATCTAAGTATTTTCCAGGGACAAAATGACATTTAGCTTTAGTTGTGTTGTTAAAGAGAAAGCAAGCAAACAGTGTGTTAAAGAAATGTGTTTCTACTATGAGAATGAACATGTACCAGCTAGAGTAGAATTTGTCTGGACTGCGAGTCGGGTAGAAATCTTTTTTTTAAATTCCGATTTGTGGGAGCTCAGGGGAGCCGGTGAGTTTCTGCCAAAGAGAACAGCAGCTCGGTCTGTGGAATCAGAGCGTGGACACTCTCCAGTTCTGCTGCTAGCTCTCCTGGACACGAGCAAGAGATATCTCATTTGGACACAGCTGTGTAGAATAAAGTGCACATTCCTTTTTAACAATAATGGACAGACGCTCCTGAAATCAGGCTGAGACTTACCTTCAAGATAGAATAGGACAGGGACGTTTTAAAACACATATTTGTCCACTTTCTAACAACAACCCGACGTGAGTAACATGCTGAGCAAATGGGTGTTAGAAAAGGCACAAAGGAAACTGCTTCGGTTGTATGACTCATACTGTCTTTTTGAAAAACACTTTTACACAAAAACAAATTCACACAAAATAACAAAAACATACACAAAC